TGCATTAACTGATAATATTGAAGGAAGAGCGCCAACCGCAACTGCAATTCAGCAAAAAAAAAATTAAAGTCATCTTATCCAAAAGATTTAAAGTCAAAATCAGAAATCGATAATTTGAAGAAGAAAACGAAGTGCAATGCGTGGGGTCAGCAAGGCCATTGGGCAAAGGACAAAGGGTGTCCAAAATATGAAAAATCATCAAGCAAAGACGACAAAAGCAAAGGCAGCAAAGAAGGTGGTGAAATTGCATGGATGGTCGAGGACACAGTTGAATTACAGAGTAAGGAATCTGATAGTTGGTATGTCGATTCTGCAGCTACAAAGCATATGACATTTCATCGAGAGTGGTTTTCTACGCTGCGAAAGTACACGACCGGTAGCAAAGTTAAAGTCGCTAATAACAGTTACTTACAAATCGAAGCAATAGGAACAATTCTGATTGATGTGAAAGTAGACAATCAGTGGAAGCCAGTTCGCTTAGAAAATGTATTGTATGTTCCTGAGCTCAGCGAAAATTTGCTATCAACAAGCATGATAACAGATAGAGGTATCACAGTGATAATCGACAAAGAAGGTTGCAAATTTGTCGACCAATCAAACGAAGTTGTTGCAGTAGGAAAACGCAACGCACTAAATCAGCTTAAAATTAATTTTCGATTACATATTGACGAATATGCCAACCTAGCTGCTGTTTCACTGGAACATTGGCATCGTCGTTTGGGACATGTGCATGTCGACGCGATTAAGCAAATGTGCAAGGAATATAAATCCTAGTTACCGGTGTCAGGTTGCCTGATAACGAAAGTTTCTTCTGCGAAGATTGCGTTTATGGTAAAATGACCAGAACAACACACAAAACATCCGTTAAGCGAGCATCAACCAGAGGTGAATATATGCATGTAGACTTGTGCGGTCCGAGTGAAATTAATGGAGTAGGCGGTATACGCCTAGTGAAAGATGAAGCAACTAGTTTTCGCTTTGTGTTTTTGCTAAAATCAAAAGATGAAACTTACAGTCACTTGAAGTCATTAGTGCCACGTGCTAAAAATATGAATGGTGCGCAAATCAAACATTTTCGGTTCGACAATGGCAACGAATTTTTCAATCGAAAAGTGCTAACAAACCTATTAAGAAATGAAGGTATACAACTTGAAGGCATCGCCCCGTACACTCCCGAGCAAAATGGTCGCATCGAACGTGACAATCGTACTGTCCAAGAAAGCGCGAGAACGATGCTCATCGCAAGTGGTTTGCCGAAATCACTATGGCCGGAAGCAGTACGCACAGCGACATATTTGTTAAATCGCACAACAAACAGCAATTGCGTTGGTAGCACGCCATATGAAAAATGGTTTGATCGCAAACCATATTTGGGTCACGTCAAGATTTTTGGAACCGAATCTTTTGTGCAGATTCCGAAGCAAACGGGTCGTAAGAAGTGGGATCCAAAAGCAAAAAAGGTCTATTTAGTTGGTTTCGAGCCCACAACGAAAAACTTCCGGTTGTATGATCCATGTGGCGAAAAAGTTTTTATGAGCTGCAATATTCGATTCAACGAGAAGCGAATTGACAAATATGTGATTCACGAAGAATCAGAAATTGAAGATAATGAGGCCGGCAATAATTGTGAGAAAGTGTCCGAACAAGCAAATGAAATCGCGTCCCACGAAGAAAATGTTTTAACAAATGATCAGGGGACATGTGATGATCATGAAGCGCGACACAGCGAGCGATATAATTTGCGACCAAAGGTTAATACACCAAGTCGATTGATCGAATCAGGCTATTCGGCAGTAATGTGTGAACCACGGTCGTATGATGAGGCAATTAATTCAAATGAAGTACGACAGTGGAAGCGTGCGATGGACGAGGAATATAAATCCCTGATGAAAAGTTGCACTTGGAAACTTGTTGAGCCTCCGGAAAATCAAAAGGTAATTGACAACCGTTGGGTATTTAAAGTGAAGGAAAACCCTGATGGCACAATCGAACGATTTAACGCTCGTTTAGTTGTTCGTGGTTTCACACAACAATATGGTATCGATTATGAAGAGACTTTTAGTCCAGTAGTGAAATACACGTCTGTTCGATTAATTCTGGCTTTGGCAGCGAGTCACAAAATGAAATTAATTCAGTTCGATATTAAAACAGCAGTTTTGTACGGCGAACTGAAGGAAAGTGTTTACATGAAACAACCAGTAGGTTATGAAGACAAAAGTGGCCGCGTGTGCAAGTTAATCAAAAGCTTGTATGGACTTAAGCAAGCTTCGTGATGCTGGAACCAAAAATTCACCCTCTTCATTCGCAAACTCGATTTCAGGCCAAGCAGTTCAGATCCGTGCGTGTTTGTTCGTAAGAACGGCAATAGAATGACAATTATCGCCATCTATGTGGATGATGGCTTGTTAGCCACAAACGACGAGAGCGAAATTGATGTGATCATTTCATACTTACGACAACATTTCGAAGTAAAAGTATTTGAAGCCAAGTATTTTCTCGGGTTCGCAATTGAACAGTTACCCGATAGTTCAATTCGCATACACCAAAAAACATACGCCAAGAAAGTGCTAAATCGTTTTAACATGATGGATTGTAAAACGGTATCAGCTCCGATGGACTGCAATCAAAAACTTGGTGATTTTATCAACGACGAGCACGAAAAGGCGTTTCCATATCGAGAAGCCGTTGTCAGCTTGATGTATTTGGCAATCGGAACAAGGCCAGATATCAGTTATGCTGTTGGTGTCGTAAGTCGATATTTGGAGCGACCAAGCGCAACACACGTCAATGCGGTAAAACGAATTATGAAGTACATAAGGGGCACATTGAACACAGGCATCCTTTACAAAAGCGACAGTGAGTTTGATTTCGTTGGTTATAGCGACGCTGACTACGCTGGAGACACAGACACGAGAAAGTCAACAAGTGGCTATGTCTTCCATATTGGTTCGGGTGTAATTAGTTGGGCATCAATCAGGCAGCAGTCAGTATCAACCTCTTCAACAGAATCGGTGTATGTAGCTGCGTGTCAGGCAGTCAAAGAACTCGTTTGGTTTAAATCGCTCGTGGCCGAACTGTCGATGAAAACCGATTTTAAAATCAAGTTATACATGGACAATATAAGCGCGATTCGATTAATCAAAAACCCGGTATTCCACAAGCGAACGAAGCATATTGATGTTCAATATCACTTCATAAGGGA